AAAATTTCTGTAAATTTTGAAGTAACTGAAAATCTTGTTGGAATGAGTTCAGTGAAGGAGCGAAAAACTGGAGCTGATATTTTATCCTCCATTTTGTGTCCTGCACATCATTTTAGTATTAAAAAACGTACTTAAATATTGCTAACTATATCACTACTGATGAAGCTCCAGCCATGATAGAATAAAGAATCAGTGTCAGAGTAGAGAGAAGGGTACATCTTGTATTATCGTGAAGTTGTTCTGTTTATCGCCATGTTGTTTCATTTATGGTAACCTGAGTATTTTGTTATGGAAATCCTATTTTGACATTATCAGCTGCATAATTTCAGTAAATTCGTAAAGGCTTGTGATGTTTGTGTGTTGGTTAGGAGTTGCTTGTTTTGTGGTTTAGATAGTAAAATGGCCGAATGTGATAAGATTAATTTGAAGTTTCAGTACAATTTGGAAAAAAGGGGAAATGAACATTACTTGACTGGTGTGTAAATGAAAATTTACTTAGTAGCCAGTATTAGGAAGGTGTCCTGTTTGTAGGAAGGAAATACGTACAGTCAAACGTCACTATGGAGGATATATTTAACTCTTATTTTGTTAATTTATGTGGCCACGCCAGTATACTAATTCTAGTTCATATAATTTTAGAAGTATTTGGATGCTGAAGGAATTTAGTTTGACTGAAGACATGTTAATTCGTAAATAAGATAAGTGGATATTTCCTTTTAGTGCAAAGATGAATTTCCTTTTTTATGCTGTTTTATTGTTTTATTTAAAATGTTGTTTATTGAGATTATATATTTTTTGTTGGCTGCTCCTTTGACGTTTTAAGTGAATATAGTTTGATGTGTACATGGACAAAGTCAAGGGAATGTGCAATACTTAGTTTGTGCAATTCTCTGATGTTTTTCCAAGTGAAAATAGGTAGATGTGTACATGGATAAAGTCAAGGGAGTGCACAGTGTCAAGTTTGTGCAATTCTCTGATGTTTTTTAAAGTAAAAAATAGTTCGATGTGTACATGGACACCGAGTTTATGCAATTCTTTGGCCTGTTATTTTGGCTTTGTGTGAGTGACGAATTTTGCATCAAAGATTGCCACCTACACAAGCCAAAATAACGAGTCAAAGAATTGTACAAACGCAGTATCCATGCACTGCCAAAAATCGCCAAATTTTGCCAAAAGGTACCTGTAAATATATTTTTATCAGAATGGCTTTGTGAAGCTATTCTAAATGAAGAATTAAGAATGGCTTGGTGAGTCGGCAGGATGATCGAGGCTAAGATTTACTTCGGTATCACTGTATCATACACCAAGAACAGTTGTGTGTGAAAGAACTAGGATTTGACTGCCTAATGAACGCAGTGAGCGATACTATCAGTTGTATTTGCTCACTTCATTTAAACCAGAAGTAATTTAAGGAAATCCTAGAGCACGCAGATGCACCACATAGTGATCGCATATGTTATTCTGAAGTACACTGGTTGAGCCGTGTGGAGGCTTTGAAAAGGTTTGCTGATTTGATTGATGAAATAATACCATTCCTTGAAGAAGGCAAGCAAACGAAGATGTTAAAGGAATCATCCTTCAAGTGTGACTTAGCATTTTTAGTTGATGTGACTGCCCATCTGAGTGACCTAAACAAAAAATACCAATCCTTCAGTCAACTGGCCCATGCAAACTGCTTTCAAACTAAAACTCCCACTGTTCTCAAAGCAGCTTGTGTGTCAGAATTTTGTCAAACAACTGTATTATTCAAATCAAGTAGAGATAGCGATTTAGAGATTTTGAGTTGCATAAGGTTAAATTTAAACTGTTTGAGGATCCATTTTCTGTTGCAGTCGAAGAAGCTCTAAAAGATGTTCAAATGGAACTTGTTGATTTACAAAATTCTGACTTACGCAAATCTAGATTCCGTGATTTAGACGTTCTTGACTTTTATAAAACTCCACCATTGAATTTTTTTCACTTAAAAAAATAATGCAAGCAGATGTACTACTATGTTTGGTAATACTTATATAAGTGGTCAAAATTAAGAAATAAACTGACAGATCAACACTTGCAATCTGTTTTAAGTATATCAGCAACTAGCTTTCAACCAAACATATCCAAAACTGTTAATAAAATTGAGTGTCAACTATCACACTAATGTACTTAACTATGGCTGACTTGTACACATTTTTGTTAAAATATTACAAACATAAAACTGTATTTTTTTTTAAGCTGAAGACGATGTGTTAGTTCCAGTAGCATATGCAAGGGTAAAAGGAAACACGCTCCCTCCTTTACATAAATATGTGATGGTCAGTTTAAATCAGTTTAAATTTGGTGTGCATGTCTGAGCAAATTAAGCAACTTATTGCATTGCCCCCCCCCTTTTTTGTCCTTTTGCATAAGCTATTAGCCCTAGGCAACGAAGTCATTTTCTGTGAGTGACACTTCTGCTAAAAATTTTGTGCATCCCTACTTTTAGGCAAAATCATGAGTTGCCACATAGATACTTTCTGGCGACTGTGTACATTTAGCTCATCAGTATTTCTGGACTTTGAAAAATAAAAATTCAACTTATCAGCAACAAATGTCACTTCTTTCAAATATGTCTAACTATTATATTATAAGTGTAAAATATTTAATGCAACTTGACACATTTTATAAAATTGCTTTCATTCTCATACTTATTAATAATTTTGTTAATTCATGTTTAATAATAATTCTTCTCACTTACGGATCTATTTTGTTTTTTAGAATGGTATTATAAGTGAAGTTCAAGTATAGATAATATTTTTAATTGAATTTATTAAGTTTCCATTTGCTGATTGGTCCTTAATTTGTTTCATTAATGGTCCTTAAAAGTCTTTAAAGTACTTAATTTCCATGTGCAGAAATGTATACAAACCCTGTGTATATGACATAACGAAACAGAGAAAGGAACTTTTGAGTTTTTTATGGATTCCATCACCCCACTTGCAGTGAATAATAGAAAAATTATTCATTATGTTAAGTGATGATCATGACAAAATGATGATTGAATGGGTCAGACAGTGTTGCAGCGATGGTATGTCATTGACGGGTTGAATGCTAATGGCTTAAGCCATAATATTTCATGATAGGGCTGTGTGGATAATCAGAAAGTAGTGAAATATTATGCATATGATAAACTTTTAAGGTACATGTTTTTAGTTTTAGATATAAATCTCTTGTCATTAAAAATAGAGTCAAGCGTAATATTGAAATGCTTTTATTCTGAAAAGTATTGTTTACACTTTCTTATAAATGTTCCTGTGTATAACTCAAGACATGATTTTATAATTTACAAAAATGTTTTATTGCTATCAGTCGGGGTGCCAGTAATGTTTTAAACCCAGGAGAATCTTTGTTACTTAGTCCTTTATTGAACATGATCATAAGCTGCAATTTTTGCCAACAACAAATGTAAAGTAATATTCTTTAGATTTGAGCGAAAGAATAAGTAAATATGGCATCTTTCAATGTGAATTGTTTCTGAAAATTATGAATACTGCTTTCAAAATTTACACGTCAGTGTATATATTCGGGATAATTTCTTGATTCATCGAGTGGATAAGGCTTGTTACTTTAGACGACAGAAACATAATACAAATTTTTTTCACATTTAAAGTGTTGATTATTAATCTGTAGCTATGCTGAATAAAAACAATGTTTTTTTTTTTTTTTTTTTTTTTTTTTTTTTTTTTTTTTTTTTTCAGTAACATTTTTATATTAATTTCCACTTCACTTCATTAAAGAATTTGGAATTCATCTTTTTTAAAAAGTTAAATTTAAAAATTTTTTTTATTAAATGTAAAAGGATTTTGTCGTAACTTACTATTACCAAGATAATGATGTGGTGAGAAATGTTTCTTGTTTTTTAAAATTCTAAACATGTCAAATACAGAACAAAGTCCAAAATTCTGTTTATACAATAGTTTGTGAATAAAATTGTGTATTGAGGAATGTTACTTTCTGTTACTTGTCATAAATGTTGGTACTTTCAAGTACTTAACAAATGTTCATTGTCGTCCATTTTGTTATTCATTTCACCATTGGAATGTGCATCTAAATAACTATGAATACTTTTTATGACGTTCCTCATTTTGGATGATGTGGGACCAGGAACTGCACTTCATTTTCATCGTCGGAATATGCTTTAATGATACATTTTTAGTTTTGAACAAACTCCAAAATGTCTTTGTGTGCCATAATTGGGGCTGTACACACATTATTTTCAACTATTGTTGCGAATTCTTTCGCTAGACGTCGGCTCAATTTCAGTATCTTCTTTCTTCATTTCTTTTGGCGTCAAAGAATCTGATACTTTTGAGAATCGTGCATGACAAAAATAATTTTCATTCCTCCTTGTAGTCACTGAATTCCATGCAGAGTGCAACATATGAACCAAACTCGCTAATTTTTATTCACACTGCAGTATTCTCATCCCCGAATTCCAAAGCCAACTGATGAGAGATGAGATGTTTTGTGACATTTGTAGGGGTAGAAGGTGAAAGTAGCATAGATAAACAAAACTTGCTTATGTGACAGGCCCTATTCCAAGGGTATTTGAAAGCCAAGTTAGCCTCCTTTGTACAGAAACAAGTGAAGCCACCTCTCTTTCATTTCACACCCCGCGTAAATCTTGTCTGCGAGGCCAGCGTTTTCCATACTTTGTTCGTTCTCAGAAAGGCTATCTTTTCGTGTTAAGAGAAAAATAATGCATGAAAATGCATATTTTTTTCTTAATGACAATGCATAGTAGTTTTGCATGAAAATACATAGTAGTTTGTCGGGATCGTCGTATTATTTCGTGCTAACCAATATTTCGTCTCGAGCGTTTTCGTGGTAAACATATTTCACTGTATATTGAACATGAATTTGTCTTAAGGACAAATATCACTTATCTGTCTCATTTAAAACTTATATTTAATGAAATAGAAGAATCTGTGGAAATATTGTTTCAATAGTATGAATATTAAATTTGATTAAAATTATTTTAGATTGCTGTTAGCAAAGGTGATGAAGTTAAGTCTCTACTGGAGTTTGCTAAGGATTTGATCAAGCAAGTGAATACAATTGTTCAGGAGGTAAGTCAACATATTTCTCTTTCTTAATTTTATTTGAACTATTTAAATATGTATATAACTTTTAGATGTGCTCGATGGCCCTTGTGAAATAAAATTAGCACTCCTGTAACTACTATCTGAAAACTAATCATACTTCGTATTTCAAGAAAAACATTGCACATATCAGAGAAATTCTTTTGAATGCTAGATATATTTAGAGAGTAGTGAGGAAATATTTTCTGAATTTACTTAAAAGTGAAGAAAAAACTATAGTAATGTTTCAAGAAAAAGGCATTTTACTTTAGAATAATGTACTCAAAAATGGCTGCAAAATGGAACCCCCCTCCATACTAATGAAGAAAACATTTGGAGATAAGGAGGTGTTGCTTGGCATTTAGAGTTATGTCTAGCAGAATTTGTATGACATTAGTATGAGGAAAAGTAAAACCATTCCAAAGCTGTATTAAGAACAGTTACAAATACGCAGGCATGAAAAACATAAATAAGACTATGTAAATAAAGTTTTGTTACATTTAATTTCTCTCTCTCCTTTTTTTAAAATTTATTTACGTACATTTTCTGCATGGCAGTTTTTCAACATTGCGAAATCTGTAGTATTCTTTATTTCAAAAGAAGGAAAATAATGTGCTTATCACAAGTATTATATATAATCTTCCAGTTTGCTACAGATTGGTTTATTGTGTGTGCTTGTTGTCATTACTTTAAATATTTGATTTGAAAAAAATTGGTATATACACTACATTAAAAGTAGACTATTTCCCCCCTTGTATAAATTAGTTAAACGTAAAATGATTTAGTGGTGTTTAGAAGCCATGAAAGTGACAAATTGTCAACAAAATCAACTTAAAATTGTTGAACTGAACTTGATAAGAAACTAAGGTGTTATAGTAAATCAGCAGCTGATTTCTAGATGTACAGAGATGCATTTATGATTGATTATAAAGTACTCATATAGCTCTTTCTAACTTTATTAAGTAGATTTCCAAACTTGTAACTGTTGTATATCCTTCACGTAAAACATGCTATTTTCTTGAAAGAGCACCACAATCTGCTGCAGCATAATTTGCTCAATAGAAATGCAGACAAGGCCTAACTTTTCTGTGCTATGAAAGAAAAAATTATAAGAGTGCATCTTTAGAGACTTAGAGTTTTCTTAAAGAGTGGTCTTTAGAGATTATACATGAACGCTTATTTTAAAGAACATACATAACATACAGAATTACTTTTTCTGTTAACTGGACACCACTTAACAGCAAACATAAATGCTTGCATAAAATCTAACTAGATGTGTTAAGCTTCATGAAGAAAAAAATTGAACCTCTAATAACAGTAATGTATTGCATAAAATAATATATACAATGTTTAATGTGTAATGCTGAATTTTTATTAATTCAGCACCACACTTAGCCTTGGCTGTGCACACATTGAACATTTTATAGCTTTCATGATGCAATATAAATGGGCTACCACATTTGATGACTAGCATCCTGTTAACAGAAAAGTACTCATGTAGATAACAAAGATTAGTTGTTCTGTTTTTAGTTTTAAAAATGTGTAAACAAATATTACAAATGCACAACAAGTATATATAGTTTTACAGCAAGACCCTCCTATAATGAACATGTAAGAAAAAAATTGATCTCTAAATCCTGTGGTTCAATCTGTTAAAACAAAAATGTATCATCTCATAAAATGTGTTTTTTTTTTTTTATGATTATCTGCATTCTTATCCAAAAAGTCACAAACTCATTGTTGACTAATTTTCACCAAGCTAATGCATGAAAGGCAACAACCAGTTTCAAAATGATGGTTTGCTAAGAATTCTATCCAAAAGCAAGCACTCAATAAAAGTTGAAATAGCAAGAAATATAGGTAATAAAAATTTATCTTTTTCAAAAAATCCTTCATTTTTGCACATGTATTCATCCCTCGTCCACAGCAGTCTGTTTTCACTTAAAAAAAATTTTTAAATTGCAACAACCTTGGCATTGCACAGTGGCCAAAAGAATCATGCTATACATGTACCTAAGTTGCCACATAAAATATTTTGGGAATATACTGCTTTGCCTCATCAGCATTTTTTCAGTAGGGATGCAGATAATCAGAAAGCACCCAAATTCCTGTAAAACCTGGCTGATGAATTGTAAAAAACTTATTAATGTGGTTACATCCCACTTATGATCATTTAAAAGAGATATATTATTATTACATACAGTTACTAAATTTGTTTTTTGTTCTTTTTTTTTTTTTTTTTTTTTTTTTTTTGTTTGTTTGTTTGTTTGTTTCGTCATGTATTTGTAAGTGCACATTATGAATTTATTAGTCTAAATGTTGTGAATTTAGAACCTTCCCACGAAATAGATATTTCCATTTAAAACAACACAATATGATCTAGAATATGCTTATTATGTGTCCTCTAAGAATTGAGTGTTACACGTGCCTTGATCAGCTCTTGTTTAAAGCACCGAAAAGTAATAGAAGAAAATAAGAGATGGTCAATGTGTGGACCATTCCTTTGGCTATTTTCCTTCCATATTTACATACTGATAAATTGCTGGAAACTAGTAATTTGATTATTAAATATAAATATTACCTAATCCCCTCCCTCACCCCCCGGCTGCTTTTATTGAGTTGTCAGTTCCACACACACGCCCCATTGGTATATATTACTGTTACGAATTTTGTATATATGTAAATAATTTTGGTTAAAGCATATGCAAATTGTAGAATCTCTTTTATATATGAAAAGGCCTAGTGCAAAGCATCTGGAGAAAAACAGAGAGGTAATTGAGGCAAATGGCTCTCTCACTCCAGCATGCTGCCGATGGTTTTGGCGTCTTAATTTTTATCACGAAGTTGGGGTAGAAATTGCCAAACTTGGCAACATTTTGGTCCGATCCCTCTGTTACTGTAACTTTGTATGCCTTTCAGCACTTTTGAGAAATCAGTGGTACTGGAAAGGACTCTGTGGATGGGGAGCTTATTAAGACCAGGGAAAAATCAGTTTTCAGTTTAGTTACGAGTTTAGCTGAGAGTATTGAGAAATCAAATGCACAAGCTTACACATTTTTTGGCTTTTTATATTGCTTTTGTCTTCAGTGCTCTTAATAGTTTGAACTAAGAATTACTGACTGCTCTTTGTTATACTGAGAAGAGCTATGAGAGTACTTTTCAGAATTGTAAAGTGCTTCTTTTGGAAAGATAAATTTTATCAAACTGTCATCAATTATGTGTACATTCAATCCATTATGAATTCATATGCATGTAACAGTTAGAATTTCTCAAAAGAGACAGTTTGCTATTTAACCCCTTAATCTACAATGATAGGCATAGCCCGCATACGATGGTCGGGTCAAACCTAACTTTGACGGGCATAGTCTGCGTACGATGGTCGGGCCAAACCTAACTTCCACGGGCATAGCCCACGTATGGTGATCGGGCCAGAAGTGAATATTACGTGGAATATTTGATACACAATTACAGTCTGGTGCAATAATTGTGGTAGATGCAAGTATTACAAAATTTTTATTTATACAAAACTTCAAAATACAAAATTAGTAATCTGTAATGGTAGGATGTATTTCAAAGCATTCTGGTACATGTAACGGAACTTTACACTTTTGACACTCGTGTTCTGTGTGGATTTTCTCGTATTTGATCTGCATACTGATTCGTTTCGGTTACAATATTGTTCCAAAATATGTCATCAATATTAGATTAAATATATCAAATTCTCCTCTACTTCCTCCTAATTGACATAAGTCTTCCTCTCTTATGCCAGGAGTCATCGTATAGTCCCAGATTTTTGGACTATTTCTTATTTCTTTCCAAAGCCAGGGCTCTGGTAGTTGATCGTCATCGAATGTATCATCAATAATTACTTGCCTATACTTTCTTCGACATTACATAATTCGTAATGTTTATGATTGCCCGGATTAGCGTGTTACACAAGTCAAGCAAATGTCCCGAACACTTCGCGAGCTTGTATACAATTTCGCCCTAACATCTTCAAATTTAAATTATAAGTTAAGGAACTTGTGACAGCCTTTGCTGCATTTAAAGAAGAAATAATAAAACCAAAAGAAGGAAAGATGGAAGGAGCCAGCAAGCCCGTTAAACAAGAGGTAAAAGTAACCCAGGAATAGGTCAAAGAGGCCATCTTGTCTGTTACAGAATTACTACCATAATAGAAAACATATCCAAGGCTATGGAAGGCAGAATAGATATGGCGAGATGGAAGGAAGAGTTTCTGCTGTCTCAAAAGACGTTGACAGCTTGGAGAAATCCATAGTGACAGCTATAAGCAATTCTGATGGCTTTAACTCTTTCACATTGAAGTCACCCAAAACGCCCGACCACTCAGACATCGGCAGCTCGCACAAACAACTGAATCATTTTCTACGTGGTGCCTTTTCCCATCATGTTAGCATGGCTCATTGCTTTTGGGAGTTGTTAAATGACATGCCAACCTTCTTTTTTTGGGGGGGGGAAGCAACTAAAAGTAGGTATGTATTGATGCCGAAAGTTGCAGTCCTGTCCCAAGGGGGGAACTGCACACAATACTGAAAGCTTATGAAGATTTACATAATTAGGTTATTGCTAGCACTCTAGCATCCTAATTTACATGGGGGAAGGAAATCTATTCCAGCAAAAATACAGATAAATGGGTGTTTCATTTGTTTGAGTGAAACAGATTTTGGTCTCTACCTGATGCGAAAGAGTTAAATTCGTACTTTTATCTTGACACTCTCTAAAGCTATACACGTAGGATGGAAAAACCTCTTGGCAAGTGGACAAGACTGTGTTGTCTATACTGCCAGATGCAAATGAATGGGATTCAGGAGCTGAGGCCTGTCACCTCACAGCTTCTGTGAGAGCAGACACATTGGATATCTTTCAAAATATGTTTGAAAATCGGTGGCTAGACCTTCAGAGCTGTATTTGGCACATTAGAGCTGTACTTTGACAAGATGTGAAGTGGACAAGACTGTGTTGTCTATACTGCCAGATGCAAATGAATGGGATTCAGGAGCTGAGGCCTGTCACCTCACAGCTTCTGTGAGAGCAGACACATTGGATATCTTTCAAAATATGTTTGAAAATCGGTGGCTAGACCTTCAGAGCTGTATTTGGCACATTAGAGGTGTACTTTGACAAGATGTGTTTAAAAGACTAGCAGCCTTCATTTAAAATCTGGCCAACAGAGGCCCATATAAACAATTCAGGAGCTCACCACAGATGTTGAAAGGCTGTCTTATCTCGCTAAGGTCTGCTGCAATTATTGCTGCTTTTTAAAAATATTATTAATCAATTTTTCAAAGTCCAAAATCAAAAAATTAAATTTTGAAAAGACTGATTGATATTCATAACTATATGTTTTTGCATATTTTCATTGTATAAGACAATTTTTATTATACATTTATTTTTATATTAATGTTTGAATTCTGTATTAATAATAAAATTTAAGCGATGAAATAACCTATGCAAGTTGGACCCCAGTTGTAACTGTGTGGAGCCTGCTAGATAGACACTTATTCTAGCAGTGTTTTCTATGTATGCAAAAATGAGGCAGTGTTGTTCGTATATCAGTGCTTTATTCAGTCAGTAAGTACTTTGGTATTTAAAATATTAGTAGCTAAGTATTTCCATAGTATTAAACTGTAGTAAATATCAGTTAAAATATTCATAGCATTATGATCCTAATACTGTAGTGTCTCTACTTATTTTAACAGTACTGCAATATTAGCTTTAAAAGTATTAAAAAGCTGTGGTTAAGAAAAGTATAAGAAAGCATACTTATAAATGTATAATAAAGCTAATGTTTATAGTTTGTTGTTCTTTTGTAGCTTGCGTAGATGAACTTATAATTAGAATAGTGCTTGTCCTTGTACTTTGTTTCATAAATGCATTTTGCTTTAAAAAATATTAATCTTATTTTGAAGGTTACTTGCATAAAATATTGGTATAAAGAAGTAAAACAAGTCAAGAATATTAGTTATTAAATGGGAAAATGTTTCTGTTATGTTCTGTCCTTAGACATTAAAACATGGAAAACTTTATGTAAAGAAATTCATGTTTTAAATCATATTTAAAGACACTGAGCAATGTCTTAGTTGTATTGTAAATATGGTTCTAATGAACAAAAGTCTGAATTTTGCATACTTATTCCTATCTAAATTTAACATGTCATCGGCATACTAATAGTTATAACAAGGGAATTTTATCTGGTCTATATTGTTTTCATTATAAGAAATTTACTATATTTTAGACTGAACACATTCGCTGCCGCGTATGAGATGACTCTCTATTGATTGCCTTACATAAATCACAGAATACAAGTGTTGACATATCAAATGCATTAATTCGTTATTTATTGCCTTACTTAAATCACTTAGTACGAGTACTATTGTAGCAAATGCATGCAATGTTTAGATGCTTAGAGTACAGAAAGGGACCAAATTATACACTTGGTGTACTGAAATGCATCATATATTTCTCAAAGCATAGATGCAACAACTGAATGTTTTTTATTTATTTATTCACTTTGGTCATGTTATAAATGGACTGTTTGAATTCTTGTTCAATGGTTTGTAAAAGACTGATGGAAAGTAATGTATCACATATGCGCAGAATGGGTGAGTGTTCCGTACATAGTTCTAAGTTATTTCATAGTTTTCACAGGGAGTGAAAATTAGTGAAGAAAGTGACCCACAGGTTATTGAAAACGAAAACATTTCTATTGACAAATTAGTGGGTATTCTCAACACAGCAATTATAGGACTTGAACAGCAGAACTTTGTAACTAAACAAGAAATTATGTCTGTTTAATAGAATTAAAGAGAAATTATTATCACATGAAACCAATCAACTTACATTGAAAGAAATGTTTAATAAAGTAAACAAATAAATATTAAGCTTTTTCTTTTTGTAAATTTTGATACCCTTTAGATCATAATTGTTCTTTATTTCATAAATTACGGTTTCATATTTTTAATTTTCGAATTTCTGCATGCCATCTTACCAGATTTAAACTGATGATCTATAATCTGGAAAAATCGATAATCCGGAATCGCCGAAGTCCCGACGAGTCCGGATTAATGACTTTTGACTGTATATGGTAATGTCAATATTTTGAAATCATGACAAATATTTCTTCACATACGCTTTGTGTACCTTGGTTTATATAGTTCATTGTTAATAAGAAAGCTTAATTGTAAGTAGTGATTATTCAATTTATGAATTTCTTATCTTTAGCATGCAAGACAGCAGAAGAAGTTAGCTAAAAAGGAACAGCTTGAACGACAACAGCTTGAGATTCAGCGTCTAACGGAGGCATATACGTATGTTCACATTCTATCTCATTTCCAGAATGAAGATGTTCGAAGTGATTTTTTGAATGGAACGAATGGTGCAGTGGTAAGACTTTTAAAGCGTATTCCTTAAATAAATAAAATAATTATATTATATAGGGGGGGAAAAGCTTTTATTATTTTATTACTGATTATCGGTCCCCTACCGAGTTTACTATACCTGTCTCACTGGAATTCTAAGCATTCTTTATACTCGTCTTCTGTTGTCATTTTCCAAGTTTTGCTGCTTTAATAGCATTATTTATTGATGAAATAGTTTCTCTCATTAATGCCATTCAGCTTTCTTAGAAACCTAAGCTCTTGTTGCTGTAAAAATTTGGTATGGCGCCATTCAAAAATTGTGTGCCAATGCCATGGATCTTATAAGAGATAGACCAACCCAGTGGGCGGGGCGTGCGTCACCGACATGTTGGCAAGAAAGAGTAGGGACGATCTGGTTTACTTTAACACTGAAACCTATGGCGTTTTTATCACCTAAGTCTTTTTAATTATTAAATGTGATACATTGTATAATGATGAGATAATGAAAGCTACAGTTTTTTCCAAATAGGATTTAATATATCTCATTAAAGCACTTTTTATTGCATTTCGCACATTTTTTTCACGTGTAATTCTTGTACAAACATCTTTACTTTGGTAAATTGGTAAAAACTCTAAGAGCAAAATTTATGAACTTAATTTTGCATAAAAATAAAGTAAAATTAAATAAAATTGATAGTACGTGGGGCTTTGAAATAAATAAGGTAAAATTAAACAAGATCTGATAATTTTTTTTTAATTTAATGAACATTTTCAGGCAGTGATTTTCCAAACTATAATAACATTACAAAACGATCATATTTATTTGATTATATGATCTTTAAATTATTAACATTAAAGTGGATTAGTTATTTTAATAATTTGTAAAATTCGGAGGATAAAATTTTCTGAGCGTAATGACCGGGGGGGGGGGAAGATAAAATAAAATCTAGAAGCACTCATATTTTATATTATGCCCAAAAGGAACCTTTTTTTAACATTTTGTGTGTTATCTATATTTATTGAATATCATGTTCTTCACCCGTAAACCACATACATTTGAAAACAGCATATCTTTAGAATTTCCACACTGGAGATAAAACTGTTATTTTCCGTTCAGTGCTCGCTCTAAACTCGTTGAGTTTGTTAATCAAAAATTCGTTAAAGTTATACAAAATAGAAAAATAGATTAAAACAAATTCGAAATTCGGCCGTCCAGATGCCCATGTGCGGGTGGAGGATTGTATTATTCAAAATTTGATGGCTCTAGATACTGTCGTTTTTGTCACCGTGCAAGAAACATACATGTATTCATGCAGATTCTTCATTATTTAATTTCTTTACATGTAATACAGGGCGATAATATTTGGTAACAACAATTTGCAAGGAGACACAGACACTTATAGTAAAACAGCGCAAAATGCCGCTTCGAAACTAACAGCCTTTCTAGGCTACTGCTGCTTTGGGTTAATAAATTAACAGTAAATAAAAAAATCTTATGCAGAACTAAAAATAAATTATCACTATAAAATACACGCAAAATGAATTATTACGGTTAAATGCAATTTTAATATTAGAATTAAATGTATAAAAATTTTTAAGGAGTCAAAAGTGTTTATCACTGTAATGTATTATGAAATATAATTAAAATAAAATTCGTTTATAGAAATTGAGCTATAATACTCATCTATAATTTAAAAAAAGCAGCACAATGTAGAATTTTAAACAAAACTTTCAAAAATTCGTTTTTAAATATTTTCGTACTTTTTACTTATTTGCACCAATAAAAAGCATAAAAACTGCAAGAGAAAATTGCTTGTTTGAAATTTTCTATTAGTTCAGATTTAAAATATTATTTTCTAAAAGATGTAGTTACAAATTTCCTTACAGCATAGGAAAAGCTAAAAAAATATCCAGCCTTGAAAGCATGCAATAGCTTTATAATTATTTGGAACATTAATTATGCTTGATAAGCATGCTAAATTTTTAAAAATCAATCTCAATTTCAAAAAAAAAAAAAAAATAGAGAGAGAGAGAGAGAAATTCTAATTTGTGAAATGAGGCTCTACAACCAGCTTTTTCTCGACATTTATACACGCTGCAATAGGCAAGCAATGTTAAATTTCTGCAAGTCGTCCCTACTCCTCCGGATGTGATCAAGTGACAGCCGGCAACGCCTCAGACGAGGGAGAAAACTCGTTTGGGTTAGTCTATTTCTTATAAGGTCCATGGCCAATGCCAAATGAAGTAACATCTGTATTTTAGCTCATGAGTAGCCATGCAATAATGCCATTATTAGTAAGTGAAAAGAACTGAACATCAGTGTAATAACTAACCTTTGAGATTTTTAGCTGCTCTTTCTATCTTCTTTTTAATATTTTAAAGTTTTAAAATCCGACATGCAACATTTGGACGGCAACATATAGTACCTTTCTTTAGTACCTAATGTTTGTTATGTCAGTAATTATTAGAGTTACTTTTTTTATGTGTATATTTTGTTGGATTTGTTGGTTGTGCCTTTTAATTTCACTAAAATTCTATTAATGCTTGTGATATTGTATTTTGATTTCCCCCCTTGATAAGTTTTCTTTTCTTAAAGCAATTAACAAGTGAGCAACTGTCACAGCTTGATCAGTTATACAAATTGATTGGATCTGGATTTCCCAATGAGCATACAGATCTCTCCAGTCACTTTCACACCTTGGCTGAAAACCATATCTTCTTGGTTGAAGGAAAAAACAAAGAAATTGTTGGAACAACATGTATCCTTTCACTAAAATTTGGAAGATTTTGCTTGTTTGTCTACTGCTTATGGTAGCTTTAATTATTATGACTAATTAAATTTTTTCTTTTGTTTTCATATAAAGACATTTGAGAAACATAATTATATTACTGACATATGGATACATACTGATAAATATTAACAATTTTGTTGCGAATCAGGAATATAAATTTATTTTTCTTGCAGTGAAAAGTTAATCTACAAGTAACTATGAAATTGCAAAACTTCTATTCTATGCTATTATATTATCAAATATTAAATCATGTGTTACTTAAAGTACTGTAGAACTGAAAAATAGTAAAATATTAATACAGTTTGAAAAAAAAAAAACAATTTTAAAAAAGTAGTTTAGGTTAGCAGTAATTCCTCAATTTTCGTGGCCATGATTTTTATTATATTTTTTCTTTTGCTGCACTTTTTTTATGATAGTTTTAAGTTTATTAAATTTATATAAAATTCAAAAAGTAAGGAATTTAATAGCAGAGAGCAAATATTAAAAGATTGTTATTTCTAGAGTTGGATTGGTTTATATGAAAGCAGATTCTTTGTTCTTAATTTAAATAAAAATTTTGTTTACCTGTTCAAGAGCCAAGATGAAAATGTCATGGTTTTATTGTTAAAAATGTAATTTATTATTTTAATAAATACATTTAAAGTGTTGATGTTTAATACGTTTGTTTTTATAATAAACATGCTAAAAATATTTTTTTCCCTGTTGTAAAATTTTCTGAATAAGTAATTTTTTCCTTCCCCCCTTTTTTTGTAGAATTACTAATTTATTGCTGTTAACTGCATAAATAAATTTAATTTTTGAAATAAGTTACTTTATGAAAAGAATATGCATTGCAAAGCTCCCAACTCTCCTGTTCTTTCAACGTGCCTCCCAGTCTCCAGGTAGATTAATGAATCTCCCATTAACTTATTTTTTAATTTACACTAAAAACACTAGGAAAAAATTAAAGATTAATAAATATAGGGCCTCTAAAAAGACAGAACATTTATTTCTTTATGTTCACTGCTCACATTCCAAAATGAAAAACTAAAAATTAGAAACATTGCATAGGAATGAAGGTCAACATGCTTCACTTTATTATTTGTGTTTAGGAATTAGTAACTGAACTTTTAGATACTAATTAGTTCTATTTAAAGTTAATTCATAATGAAAAAGTATATTTTCTTTCTATATATTTTTGTTACTTTAAAAATTTTTTGTCGTTGAGAAAATTCTCATTTTTTAGTGTCATGGGTTGGCAACTATGTAATCACTTTACTTGTTAAATTTTACTGTCTTCATGTTGCATGAATATATTGCCAGAGGCCAACTCTCTCGGTTTAGGTTGATTATTGATAATACATTCTTAGTCTGAGTTAGTTCATATTTCTTTTTGGGGGGAGGGTAAAATTTTCATAACTTTTATGTAACTTGGCCTAATACAAGGGCTGTCTGAAAAATTTTCGACCTAACAAAAAAAAAAATTTTTTTTTTTTTTTTTTTTTTTTTTTTTCTCTAAAATAACTTTTACTTTTCTACACAATCTTCTTGTAAGTCTATACATTTCTCCCAGCAATGCTCCCATCCTTTTAATCCATCCAAATATGTCTGCAAAACTTGGGGCCAGGTCTGGCGAGTAGGGCGGGTGGTCACGCAGTTCAAACTATAATTTGGGGTTTTTGCCATCGCAACCTCTGAGGTGTGAGACGGAGCATTGTCTTGAGTGAAACAAAATTTTTTCTTTTGCAAATATGGCCATTTTTCCACAATTTCTGCCTTTAGCTTGTCAAGTAGTGTTGCATAATATGCTCCGGTAATGTCTTTTTCCTTTTCAAGATGATCCATTAAGATAATTCTATGGCTATCCCAGAAAACTGTTGCCATTACTTCCCCCAGCAGAAGAAACAGTTTTCGCCTTTTTTGGAGCCAATTTTTCCCTTTGCCGTTCACTGTTTTTGTTGACTTTAGTTTTCCTTATGCAAGTTTTGATCGGAGGTCAATTGGATCTAGTGTGGTTGCCGCTGATGACGTCAAGATTGGCGGGTTTATGTATGCCAGTATCAGCGAACGTGTGTGTTCTGATTTAGCATTATGCTAGTTTTCTTTCCTTCAAATGGTTTTAAATGTAAAGGCTACAGTGTTAGCTTATTTTATTTTAATTTATGGAATATAGCATGAATTTTATTTAGATTAATCTTAGCTTTATTTAAGGGAAGCGAAAATATGCTTAGCCGATGTCCACACTCCCAAGAGTTTTGATTGTGTTTTTGTTTCTGGGCTTTAGTGATGAATCCAGGTTTCATCTATAGTGATTAATCATCGAAGAAACTCCAATTTATTACTCCTGAATAGCGCCAACAGAGTGGTGCAAATGTTCATTCGAACACGTTTTAGTCCAAAGTTAGCAAACGCAGCACCCAGCTCGTGCATACCTAAATCTTGGTTCAATATGTGGCAGACGCATTCATTTGTCATGTTCATAGCCTCTGCTATCTTTCTAACCTGGACTCAACGGCCGTCCAGCACCATTTGGTGAATTTTAGGGGTGTTTTTGTCGGTGGTTGCAGTGTTTGGCCATCCTGAACGTTCATCGTCACCCAAGCTAGTACGGCCACTTTTTAATTCAGCTGTCCAAAATTTCACAGTAATAAATGATGGGGTAGAGTCCCCGTACACAGCGTCCAACTCCTCTTTAATCTGTGTAGGCGTATTACCTTTAAAAAACAAGTACCTAATGACAGCTCGATACTCGATTTTTGTTCCCCCATTTTTACAAAAACAGTTACATTAACTCGCAGAAAAAACTGTCAAATAAACCTTGCCTTCAAAATGGCTGAAATTGTGGTTGGGGGTTTTCCAAGAAGCCCAAACAAGATCCCGCACTTTCATTGATTAGTGTAGTCATCTATCTATCGGGGTCAGAAACTTTTCAGACAGCCCTCGTACTTTGTTTTTTTACACCCAAAAGGCTACTTTCTGGTGTCTGAAATCACTTGATTTTTCTTTAAGAGTAACTTTAGGAAAAGTCATTTCACTTGTGAGAAAATTTGTAGCTGAAAATATCATCGACTGCTGCTGTAATTCCTCTGGCATATGTTACTGTTGAGTACAGAGCAAGGTCACATTTGTTCTGTATATGTCTTTGATTGCTAATCAGTGGAAATTTTAAAAGGTATTCCTGTACTTTTAAAAAATCATGTGCAGTTGACTTTCCTTGTGTTATTTCATCAAGGAAATGTAATATTTTATTATATTCTTTGTCACTCCAAGTTTTGTTTCATTTTGAAGGGCTGGCATTCTTAAATTTACTCATTATTATAAAAAAAAGCTTTTCAATGTATTTTATTTGGTTAGTTATTTTAAGCTGGGGCAAGGGTTTCTGAAAAAATCATATTCCAAAGGGGGATCATATAATTCGCATTTGGTAAGTTAATGTCTGCAATGCCAATATATGTGGGCTACCAACTGTGTAGAATTTTGCTTCTTAGAATGGCCTTTTTTTATCTGATTGGTACTACGGTTGGGGAAAAGATAATAAAACGTTACTGAATTTATAGAGTTGTAAAATTATGCACAAATCATGTTTGAATTGATACTTGTTATATACACTTATATAAACTGTTAATTTTGCAAATGCACATATATAAACTGTTAATTTTGCAAAAGATGGGGACTGGGTTGTTTTTCTTTAAGAAATTGTTGAAGAGATCTGTGTACTAAACAGACCTTTCCATGGGATTTAAGTTTGGGGAAAGAGACCTGTTTATTTCTAAAACATTTATGAATACTTCTCATTAATAGACATTTTTAGTATCTTTTTCCCCCTTAAATCAAAGATTAGATAAAGCTTTGAAGGAAGTATTGCAGACTATTAATGAATGTGGGTATTTAACAAGATCTTCAGAACCCGCAGATGCCACCTCAAGTGATGAAACACCCGAAGAAGAAGGACCTGTTGAAAATGTTGCGAATCAAGAAGTAATGGCTCCTGCTGAAGATATTGAAACTGTTCCAAGTCCATGTAACGTAAGTTAGACATTTTGTAATTCAGTGTAATTTATTTAATGTTGTTAATTAAATATATAAAAACTGAATCTACATCATTATAAGCACATTATGTGCTTAATTGCTTATAATGATGTTGATTAATTGCTTATAATGATGTAGATTATGTGCAACATTATGTAACTTCATAAGAATTCTGCTGTGCCTTTCACTAAATTTTTAAAATTTTATGTAATTTTTGTATTTTCTTGCAAAAATATATTTTTTCCAAATAACTGAATAATGTGGTATTAATGAACTTATTTCCTTTAGTTCTGCTTGGATGCATTATTTTTTCATCATTTCTTTCATTTTTCGGGGGGAGGGTCAAGAAGGTGTTTTTTCCCCCTCCCTGTTTGTTGTTTGTTTGTTTGTTTCTTCCAGTAGAAACTCAACTATTTGTGCTATAATATTTTAATACTTAAAATTTGCAGTTATTAACTAATTTTATTATTTAGCATTAGTTATTGATTTTATTTTCATCCCATTTAAAAGCACTTTTTTCCCTTCTCAAAATTTTGTCAACATGGAAGTTTAAAAAAAAATTACAAAATGAAATAAAATTAATCAGAAAACATCAAGTTTACAATATCTAATTAAATACTAATATATTTATATCAGAATCGCATTATAAAACAGATTTAAACCAATTTGGTATTCTCTTAAAATTGCATTAATTTTGTTTTATTTGGCATATAAAATTGTTCAAAATTTAAGCAGTTTAAGGCGTATTTTAAGTGTATAATCATTTTAATATGTTGACTACATCATATTAAAAGATTACAAATTGGTAATTCTTATTGTGATAAAAGACCATGTCTCTAAATGTTGTGTTGTTATATAATAATTTGTAATATAGTCGAGTAATTTATTATAAATAAATTTAAGAGGAATTCATTGTATTTGTTAAAACAAGTAAAACCAATATCTAATTAATTTTAGGAGCAAGTCAAGACTGAAGAAGAAGCTAAGCCTGTCTTATGTTCAGAAACTGTTCTTGAAGACACCCCATCTGATGTCCCTAACATGCAGAATGGGCCTTTGCAAGAAGTCCTTTCTTCTCAGAGCAGTTTCAATTTCCTGCAAGAGTCTCAGATTGATCTTGATGGTATGTTTCTTCATTAAGCTTTTTCATTTTAAAATTTATCTGAAATAAAATTTTTTAAAATATTGCAAAAAAAGTATGCTGTGCTGCCCATTAATTCATTTTAGTTTTAGTCTTAAGTTGTACAAATTTGCAGTTAAAAAATTTAATAAATGTATCTTTGCTTTTTCCTTTTTTAATTTGTATTTTTTCCCTTTTTAATATAAGTACTTCTCTAAATTACCACTAGAAATTTTATGTTCTAACTGTCCTTACATAATACATATTTAATTTATGATCCAAGATAATTTTTTTCCGTTTTTTAGCTCCTCATATGGATCCTGCTGTTGTAGCTGTCCATCAGATGGCACCACCCCCTACAGTCAACTTTGCTGTAAATCCCTATCCTCCTACACCTCCTGTTGAGGATACTTCCAAGCCTCAAGTAAATGGCAGTGAGCCATGTGATGTATCAGCTCCACCACCACCACCAACTATGAGTCAAGTCCCCATCATATCTGCTGGCCTACCTCGTACTGTCACTCCCGTCTTAACATCAGTTCAACACAACAGCCAGCATGATTTTGATCCATCACACCCAATTCCAACTCAAACATTTACAAATCAGAGTTTTGCTGTCATGCAAAACATGATCATGCCACAGGCTTATGTTCCAGTCACCATGCACCATGGGCATATTCCTCCACATATAGGACCCATTGCTGTTGTTCCAGGATTGTCTCCACCAGTCACATCAACTGGACCTTCTATTGTTCCAATTCATTTGCCAGTACCTCCTGTACCAATTGCTTCTGTTCCAGAAAATGATGTTCCAAATGATTTGGAAGCACAGGTGTCAGAAAGGGAAGATAGTCAGGTAATAGTTTTCTTTCAAAAGTTCAGCTTGAACTGAACTTGAAAATGACTGCTTTTTATAATAATTTGATAAACTGTTGCACTTTTTTTATCTTTCTGTAAAATATTAGGCTTTTGATATACTCCAAATACAGGAGAGAAAAAAAGTCTTAGCTTTCATATATTTTAAAGGTCTTTTAAATCAGTTTGTTTTCTGCGAGCAAAGTAATCTGCATGATGCTTGTCTGTCATTACAAAATAATCCATAAGCTGCAGTGTTCTCAAGTCATCAGCCCACCAGTGGTCGAGCAATAAAGTCGTTGAACATTGGTAGCTCGATCTGAGGTTCGAATCCCGCTAATGAGCTGGTCCCCGTGGCGTTTTCATGGTTTTCCCTGTGTCAGGGTTGCCACGCTACCTGTAAAACTAGAAAAAGTCGGGGAATTTAAATATTTTAGTCAAAATCTGGAAACGTTGGGGAATTTTATACGGCAATCCCCCCTCCCAAAAAAGCGAGTCTTGCGGCAACTTTGGAAGTGATTTTTTTCTGGGCGAATTATGTATCATGTGAGTGTTATTCGGCCAGCTAGCATAGAGCCAATTTTCACAGCTTCGGTTAGACTGTCAGAAAGGCAAAGCAAGTTTCCAGCAATTTTGGTTTCCAGTAACCTCAAGAATCGAAAGATTCGTATGTGCATTTGCCATGCATCTTGAACTAAAGAAAATACGATTTCTCGTATAAAACAAAATCGGTTTAATCCTAGTATACAGTACTATGGAGATTAGAATAATCACCATGTACTGTACTCACTGGATTTGGCGCCGACATGATGATGAGCAGTAAACAGATCATTTTTGTGTTGGCAGCAGTTTTCAAAATATTGCCAAGGCCGTAGTATATACTAGGATTTTATCACAAGATCTTTTAAACCTCTTTTTTTTAGTAGATGCTTTATTTGTCATTTTGCAGTAAAATAAAAAATAGTAATCACACATAGGCTAACCATTTAATATAACTATATTCGCCAAAATATCGTTGATTATTCTAATTCAATTTTTTAATAGTTATTTTTGTTTTGATGTTATTCGTATCATTTTGTGTTGCTTGTTCTCTCTAAATTGATTTATTATTAGTAAATGATACTTAAAATTTTCAGGAAATTTTCTCTGGCATAAACCTGAAATTAATTCTAGCAGTTTGATGACATACCATTACAGAATTTAATGCTCATATTTTTTGCTTATGTATGCTGCTAAATAAATATAAAATAACTGAATTTATTTAAAAACATCATTAAATAGATTTCTTTCTTTCGTTTGTCTAAAAAGACATTTTTTAATCCAGATTGGGCAGATTCTAATCTCAATCGTCAGTGTAGAAAACAACTCCTGTTATAGTTACAATAGCAATGCTTTTGTGGTATATTATGTAATTGGCAAATTTTCGTGTTTTCAAGAGGTACCTTAATTATTTTACCTCTTAGCACAGCCAACGTTCATTGCGCAAATAGACTGGAATTTTCTTAAAACACGCCTGGAAAAGTCGGGGAATTTCATTCCCCTGTTCGAGTGGTAACCCTGCCATGTGTAACTTGTATACGAGCCAGTTGCTTTTCAAAAGTCCTCAAAGGCATCCTCCCATCAGGCAGATAGCCTTCAAGACTTTGCCCTAATTACATAAACCAAATCAGCCACAAGTCACCAATCATAGAATGCATTGCAAAGTGCAAGATCCGTATTGTTAGGCAATTCCTTATTTCAGAAACTTCTGGATCGTCAGTTTAATAAGATGACAGATAGAAAAGGCAATATTGGAATTTATGATCCAATTAAAGTTTCGTGTGCTTTTGTACTGCTTCATTTGTATTTATCATTAAAAAGACAAAACGCATCAAAAAGGCAAAATTGAAATTTATACAGATGGCTCAAAGACAACTAAGGACAGCAAGTATAGCTGCTGCCATCTACATGAAGAACAAATCGCTTGCAACGTGAAAGAGAAGGCTGAACTCAGAAAACTCCATTTTTTAAGTGGAACTAATAGCAATTAGAGAACTCGTTTACACTCAAGCACTGAAAGTGTGATTCTAGCCAACAATACAAAGCCAATCAAGGTATTTATTATTGCTATGGTGTGACTTTCCAAACCAGCAGATGTTTGAAAGTCACATGTAGGAATGTCGGAGTTCTTTTCATTAAATATGAAACATTCAGCAATCATCTTGCAAGCAATATAGGAGCAGTGAATAAAAAAGTTCAAAGATTTTTGTATATTGCAATAACCATACTGTTCAAAACTTTCTACAGTTTGTATTTTCATGTTTTTAAATCAGATTCTTTAAATCTTTTTTAGTCAAATCTGAATAAACGAAAAATTAAAGATATATTGTGTCATATAATGTGGGCTGATTATCAATTGAAGATTTTGATTTTTGAAACTAGCTGTAATATTAAATCGGTTAACAATTTCATCAGTGCATGAAAACAATCGGTGAACTTTCATTTACGCAGACTAATGCAGTAATAAAAGTAATTTTTAGTTAATATTGCAGTTGATATTTATGATGATACTTTTTGTCACATATACACCCCCACACACAAAAAAAAAAGCTACAATTGGTGGTCACTATAACATTAATGTTTGAATGTCTTGTCACAGTTAAGGCCTTATACCAGACAGCTCAGTTTTCATAATGAAATGACTAATGTAATACACCATTTTAGCTAATTTTAATTAAGTTATTCTGATGCTTGTGTAAGCATTTCTTATATTAAAGGCAGATTATGGACAGTTTATTTATATTCAGATGTCGGAAGGAGGGAAAAAAGTATTAGTGCAGCCAAAAGTCGTTAATCCGGACTCGTCGGGACTTTGGCGATTCCGGATTATAGATCATCAGTTTAAATCTGGTAAGATGGCATGCAGAAATTATAAAATTAAAAATATGAAACTGTAATTTATGAAATAAAGAACAATTATGATCTAAAGGGTATCAAAATTTACAAAAAAAAAAAAAAAAAAAAAAAGCTTAATATTTATTTGTTTACTTTATTAAACATTTCTTTCAATGTAAGTTGTTTAAGTTGCTTCGTTTTATGTGATAATACTTTCTCTTTAATTCTCTTAAACAGACATAATTTCTTGTTCGGTTACAAAGTTCCGCTGTTCAAGTCCTATAATTGCTGTGTCTACCGACTAATTTGTCAATCGAAATATTTTCGTTTTCAATAACCTCTGTCACTTTCTTTGCTATCGGAAGCGAATTATAATGACGAGGAATTTGATTTAAATCATATCAAAGACGGAGTACATCGAGATGAAATACTACATTCAGTAAGGAATTATAAGCCAAATAAAATAAAAACATCTGCCCTGACAGATCAATTTCCCATTCCGCCGCAGAGCAGTGTGAAATTGATAAACAGATTTCAGAATTGTTAGAAAAATGAAGGATATGCCTTTATCCATTTTTTGCAGCAATTCCACTTTATGTTTAATGAACTTCGAAATATACTTTCGCTTTGTAAATCATTTACATATTAGTAAATGTATATCATAAATTCTATTTGACATAATCGAAAGTTCAAGCTTACTTTTATAAAATTGCTCTAACAGTTTGCAAAAAATAATAAGCCGGATCCAATTAAGGAACAACGCAATCTGCAACATTAACTGAAATAGATAATTAGATAATTTTAGCTTACCTTATACCGTCCATTATACATTAAACGCGCACTCGTAAACGTATTCTGCACACGCACACAAGCTTATTCGCAGCCGTAAAGGTCGTCGACGCGATGCATGCGCAGAAAGTTTGTAGCTTTGAGGTCCGGATTATAGATCATTCTGTATTACGGATGTCCGAATTAATGACTTTTGACTGTATTGCAATAGATCATGTAAAAAATTACTTCAAGGTAATGCCCTCTCATTATCTCTTTACATAATTCACCTCTTTTGTACTTGAAGCCAGTTTCATTCATTGTGCTGTTTTAAAGCAATCAAGTCCAATATTTGATAAGCTTTTAATGAGATTTCTTTTAAACTTACAATTTATGCCAGTATTAATGATATCCAGAAACATTTCAGTGTTACTTATGAAGTTTATTTTTATTTCAGTCTCCTGTGGATGAAAATGCAGCAGATAGTGAGTCTAATGTTAATGGTACATCCATTGACAAGAATGCTGATGGTAATATTTTTTATACAAATTCGGCTATTTATTTGAAGTATTATTACACATGCTGCATATCTGTTACTATCAATAATTAACATAACTGTTTGTATGATTTTGATATGTGTTCTCTTCTAAGGATACACCCCTTCATATCGAGGCTATCGTGGTAGAGGACGTGGTCGAGGCAATGGGGGGTACTTCAGAGGAAGAAATAATTACAACAGTGGACGAGGTTAGTAAATATTTTCAATAATATTCTAAGATGAAAAATTACATTTCCATTAACAATCCTATGGTTTTTATATTAAATGAAATTAATATTCAGCTTAAAATTATCAGGTTGACAATGCAAACTGTTTTTTGGCCCACCTTAGTATAATCTCTAGCAGTTGTGTTTTTCTTTCCTTCTTTATTCCTTAGCATATTTGCAAAATACATTAGAATTCTAAAAATCCACACATCTTCGGACCAAACCTTATGCAGATTAGTGAGTTCTGTAGTTTGCATTCTAAATTTTGTTTACATGTTTCTGTTTCGAATTTTTTTATTAACCCTTTGACTGCTCAGTTTCATGAAAATCATTTAAAAAATTGCATATTTTTTAATAAATATTTTAAATCAGCATGTATTTGAGAATTAAAATATGTAGCACATTTTTGTAATTAAGATTTTTTTTTATCTAGAGAAGGTGTTTGTACACTTTCAGAACTATTTCAAAGAAGAATTAAAAAAAAAAAAAAAAAAAAAAGGCAGCAATTGTTTTGGATTAAAAATAGCTTTTTATTTGAAATGAAAAATATGTACTTTTAAATATGTTCTTTTTTTTTAATGTCACATGTCAAACAGGATATTAAAGAATATCTTCTTCTGCTTTCCAAAGACAAATATTATATATTTCAAAAAGGTTCTAAAATACAGGGTTATCCAAATTAAACTTCCCCAACTCAGAGGCCTGTGCAGAGTGTTGTATGGGTCATAATGTGATGAAATTTTAAAAACAGACACTTCAGATCATGCGCTCGAGATTTATTACACAAAAAAAATTAGTACAAGAAGTTGCCGATAGGCGGCGCTGTAACACTAGTAATGTGCATATTGCAGCAGCGTGATTTGCAGAAATAAAGCTTCTGCACAACGTATCCAAAAGACAAGCCCTACAAAAGTGGAAGACAGGCCTTTTACAGGCAGTTGTTTCCAGCTCGCTGATGCACAATGGCGACTTTGAAAGACAAAGCTCTGTTAGTGAAACTTTTCTACCAGAATGAAGAGAACTCCTGTGCTGCGATAAGAGCATTCCGTCGGCTGAAGATTTTATGCCGGAGACCAATGACACCATGCGCTCTGCGAGAAGTTCGAAAGAACGGGACAGCTGGGAATTTTACCATGTAGAGGACGACAGGTTGTGGAATCTGCACGCATAGAAGATGTTGCTTTGGCGGTCGTGGACCCCACTAGCCAATCGCCACATGGTGTTGTCAGTGTGCCAACTGTTTCTCGTGCTGTTGATATGCCCTATACGACCGTCTGGCGTGTGATGCGTCGAATCCTCAGTTATTTTCCTTACAAAATCCATAGTCTTCATCAGCTGTCCGACGGGGATCCTGTAGTTCGGGAAACATTTGCGTTGCACTTCCTTGCCAAAATGGAAGTCGATGTTGCTTGGCCTTAGAACATCCTTTGGACGGATGAGGCCCATTTTCACCTGAATGGTCAAGTGAATACACACAACTGCCGCATTTGGGCAAGTGAAAACCCGCACGCAATCCATCAAGTGCCCTTGAACCCTCCAAAGGTAACTGTATGGTGCGGTTTCACTGCAACATTCGTCATTGGGCCTTATTTTCTTGAAGAGGTGACTCCAACAGAGTTCAAAACCTGCTTTGTCACAGGAAAACTGTATCAGAACATGTTGACAACGTTTGTGATCCCTGTACTGCAACAAATGGCCGCCTCCAGGACATGATATTTATGCAGGATGGTGCACCTCCCCATATTCTTCGTGGCGTTCAACAGGTGTTACGGGCAACTTTTACCGATGCATGTGTGATCAGCCGCTGTTTCCCTACAGCTTGGCCTCCCCGCTTGCCTGATTTCACGCCATGTGACTTTTGGTTATGAGGATTCTTAAAGGGTCGGGTCTACTGAGAACACCCAGCGACCTTGGCACATCTGAAAGACGCAGTTATTCGACATGTTCGTGGAATTCATGTGGACTTACTGCATTCCGCTGTGGAACACACTGCTTTGCGAATGGAAAGAGTTGTGGAGAACCACGGCACACATATAGAACATTTGTAGAATGTCTTGTTGATCTGCAGCGCCACCTATCGGCAACTTCTTGTACTAATTTTTTTGTTTAATAAATTTCGAGCACATGATCTGAAGTGTCTGTTTTTAAAATTTCATCACATTATGACCCATACAACACTCTGCACAGGCCTCTGAGTTGGGGAAGTTTAATTTGGATAACCCTGTACATGGTACTAAAGTTTCTAAGTTCAAAATAAACGTTATTTATCAGAAAAAAAAAAATTATTTCTTGTACGTGGGAAAAAGACTCTAAACAAACATGAAAAGGAGGTACATACTGTTTCTAATGTTTGTAAAGTTAAATTAGTAACAAGAGAAGATCTGCTGATGCAGACAGAAATCAGAAAACGTCTTTGAATGCATCAGTAGCAACAATAAATAAAATAGTAAACTAAGATTTACAACTTAAAATTGCTAAAAGACCAGCTTTTATTCACCAGATTCTGCTGAGGTATATGTCTCAACACAAAACAACCCTGTATAAAAACTATTTAGCAGGCGATAAATGAGAATATATTGTGACTTTTGATGAAGTATCGGTTTATCTAAGTGACGTTAAAAAATGGTGTATTTATTATCAAAAACAAAGAGAAAAAACTGTATACCTGTTTCCATCAGGGCTAAGAAAGTTTCAATAAGGGGCTTATGATTATCGCAGGATTCTTGTACCAAAAATTAAAAATAAGGAGAGGGAATAAATATGATAATCAACTCAATGCATTATGAAGAGAAAGTTTTATGTTTGATAATTAAAGATTAGAATAATGGTTTCTTTATCCCAGTTACTTTCCGAAAAAGAAACTTCATAAAGACAACGCAGCAAATTATACTTTGAAAGTGCTACTGCATTCTTTGGAAAATGAAGACTGAGACAGGTACTGCATACATACATTTTCAGCATATTTCTACAAAGTTTGATGGCATTTACCTGTGAGCTATTGCACTTTGGTCACTTGAAAAGAGCTGTTTCTAAATGCAAACCCACCATGACTGATGGACTGTGGAAGATAGTGAATAAAAAGGAACAAAAATCAGTATGCCTGGAAATTGTATGAAAAGCCATCTGTCATGGAAATTGCAATGCAAACATATCCCCCCCCCCAAAGTTTATTATGGTAAATTTCTAAACAAGCTTTAAGCAAAGTCTTCGCATATGGTTGCCATGCTTTCTGGAGAACCAAGAATCAGAGAATTCGGGAATTAACTAAAAAAAGTCTGAATTTCATATGGGAATCCCAGAAAAAGCTATTTTTGCACCAATGTTGGAAGTGATCATTTTCTTGGCGGATTAAGTATCACATAAGCATTATTTGGTCAGCTGCCATGGAGCCAATTTTTGCAGCTCCAATCAGATTGTCTCTTTCTAGCAACTTTGGTTTCCAGTAACCTCGAGAAATTCACGTGCGCATGTTCACTACATATTGAACGAAAGAAAATACCTTCCCATTCTCTTATAAAACAAAAGGAGTTTAATCCTACTATCACACGAGATTCGACGACATGATGATGAACAGTAAACCGGACACAGTTTAGTAATAAACGTGTCATTTCGGTGTTGGCAACAATTTTCGAAATTATGGCAAAGCCGTACCGTATGCTAGGATTTTACCACAAAATGTTTTAAATCTTTTTTTTATTTTTAATTAATGCCTTATTTGCCATTTTGTAGTAAAATTAAAATAGCCGTCAGTCATCTAGGCTAACCATTTAATATAAATATATTCACCAAAATAATTGTTGATTGTTTAATTTGGTTTTTGATATTTAAGTAGTTAACTTTATTTTAATGTTATTTGTATCATTTAATGTGGCTTTTTCCTCCTAATTTTATGTATTATTAGTTAATAATACTGTCAAATTTCAGCCAATGTTTGCTGGCATACTGCTGAAACAAATTCTAGCAGTCTGATGTTGTACCATCACAAAATTTACACATAATTTTTCCTTCTGTATGTTGCTAAATAAATATAAAATACCTGAATTTATTTAAAAATATCATTAAACAGATTCCTTTCTTTTGTTTAGCAGCAAAATGTCTGCAAAAAAAAGACATTTTTTAATCCCTATCAGGCAGATTCTAATCTCAATCTTTAGTGGAGAAAACAGTTCCTATTTAATTATGATAATAATGTTTTGAGGATTAATATATATAGGTCATATGTGATTTGCAAATTTTTCTGTTTTCAAGTAATACCATAATTAATTTACCTCTCAGCATAGTCAACACACACTATGCAAATAGACTGAAATCTTCTTAAAACGCATCTGGAAAAGTCAGAGAATTCCATTCTCCTGTTTCAGTGGCAACCATGTTCACATTGTTTGCACTAAATTCATGTTTCTTTGAGAAATGTTTTTCCCATTAAAGTTTGTTGGAGCGAAAAACAGCACACTGTCTAATAAAGCTCTTTTTTATGGGCTGTTAAATCTTAAAACGGTTGAAAGTAGCACTATTTAACTATACTTATATTTAAAACTATCCTATGTTCCCAAGAAAAGAAAGTTCAGCAGGAGTTGAGGGAATAATTTTTGTATCTATTTTACACTACTGCCTAGCATTTTGGTTGGTTTTTGAATCATTTCGAAATTCATCACCCTCTTAGATGAGTCAAAAAAAAAAAAAATCGTTCTTTCTTTCTTCTTCTTTTTTTTTTTTTTCCCCCATTTAAAAATTGCTTTGAGTATTAGAAACATTGTCAAGAACATACATTCTGTCACTTGCTGAATTTTCCATTTTCAAAAAGATAGTGAAAGTGTAGAAAGACTTAATTTACTATTAAGTTTAAAAATAATCAAATATGGCTGCTATCATTAAAAAAAAATTGGCTTAGCCGCACTTAAACAACTTTTAAATTGTTGCTAATACTACAACTATTGCATTCAGATTAACTAAAAGCATAAAAACATTAACTGGAAGATGAGAGTAACTTAATTCAATGATTTTTCAAGCAAAAAATGCACAATTAACCAACATATGAGGATAAAAAATACTGAGCTCACTGAGCCGAGTAACAAGGTGGGTATGTATATGCAAAATATAAAAAACTCAATGGATTTGCTCTATGCGAACAAGCAACCTCTAATTAACTTTCTACAATTTCAGTACCTTTCCCCTAGACCAGTACTTTCCAGAAAATTCAAGCCTATTACGTAACCTCTCCTATAAATAGAGAATTCACGATATTTTGCATCATGAGACCACTATCTCCTTCTGTTGTTAGGATCTATGCTGCCGCTCTCATCTGCTTCCCTTTGTTAGAATACTATGACACAGTGAATTTAATCTGACTTTGTAAAGAATGATGAGCTGTCTTTTGAATTGAATAAAGATATGGAGCTATAAATTTAAAGCCTTCTGTGTTGTCATTGGATTAAAAAGCTTCACTCATGTGCCCGACTGCCAAAATATTACATATATATATTATATATACTTTTGATTGCATCCAAAATGGGAGGTGTCCAATTGCATGTTATAGCAGTCCTATATACAAAATTTAAACGTTCTGAGGCCCCCACTCCCTTTTTTTTTAATGCGGGATAATCTCTTTTGAATCCATTTTTAAATCAGTTTTATAATTTGATTGTGAGAAAAAAAAAAAAAAGAGTCCTTTATTTTATTCTTTAGATGTCATGCAAAAACATCATTAAATTGTATTTGATAGTGGTAAAAATGGATTTTTTCCTTGAAATATTATACTCAGAATTTTCTGTGGTTACACGGAACTACTTCAGGTAATAACAGTGGAAGAACTTGGCAAAATCAGTCAGTGAACTTTATGAAAATTTAGGTGATAGTAATGTCATCTGTTGACCAAAAGACAAGTTAAAAGTGCAAATATTGTAGAAAATGTGTTATCCACAATTAAACAAGGAAAATTCCATTTAAAAAATGAGGAAAATTGCAGGATAAGTAAATTTTGTTTCTTCCATGTTCCCTGTGGAATAAGCAGTCAGAGGGTTAAAGTTAAATTGTTGCATATATATAGCTAATTAAAGTACTCTCATATGCTGAGATTTATTTAATCTTGATGCAAAATTTATGTTTTTTAAATATGATTATGAAGGAAATATTAGTGGAGAGAGAAAATATTTTGAGGGTGTAAAGAATTCTTTTTGTAAAAATATTTTGCATTACAAATTTTAACAAGCGAAAACGTGTAGGCTGTTTACGAAACTCCCAACAAGGATTTTTATAAATAGAATTCCTACACTGATTCTATCTTTACAAGCATATGCATTAATAACACTGCAGAAGTGCTAACATTAAAATTCCAAATTTTGAAGGAATAAAAAGTCTAGTTTTTATGCTTTTATTGTGTGTTTCTTTTTTAATGCCAGAATCTAGAATGTTTGGAAAATGGCAGATATATGAAAATTCTGGATAGCTGGCTGTATAAAAAATTCAGTTTATGGTAGAAAAGGCAAATGAATGTAGTTGTGTGTAGTTTGTCTCTTTAAAAATAAATATTGTGTAATTAAGAATAGTTGGTAGTATGAGATTGTATGTTTTTAAAAAATAATAATTTTGTCAGCTTAATGCTTTTCCATCCAATGCTAACTCCTCAGTTTGTTTTCCAAATGCCTGAAGAGTTAATAAAATTTATTATGAATGATAGATATGTGAATGATGTTTGGTTGATGTCACTTTTTTCAGGATCTTGCTGAAATGTGTTATTAATGCCAAATTTTATTTGGTAATTGGTAATTGTTTTGTTGGAATTATTAATGACTGTATTCATTGATAGGTGCTACATATGAAGATCAGTATTGTGCACTGAATCAAACCTTTGATATGTGACACGATGTGGTTAGTGCCGAAACAGATCTTTAAGCACGAACAATTTGGAACCTTGTATATTTTTTGTGGGACAAGCATAGCAGCTACAGTCCATTTTATTTATTTATTTTTTCCCTAGACTGAATACTTTTTTCCCAGAATTGGGTATTTCATTTAAAAAACATGTTTTTTTACGGTTTAGATGCATTTTCCTGTATATTTATGTTATTTACCTCACAGTATTTACTGTAGGAACTTTGTTTAAGGTAATAGAATTATTAAAATATGCTGATATAAACACACCGTACATTTATGGTAAAATATTAAAAGCTGTTATTTTTATTTTATTTTATTTTATTTATTTATTTATTTATTTTTTAACATTTTGAAGTAAAAGTATATTTCTGTAGTAACTTGTAGGTGTGTATAAAATAGATTAGGAGTGATACTGTGTAGTTAAAAAATGCTTATTTGATACTATATTCCTTCACCACCCCCTGTTTTTCCCTCCATGACATTTAAGGCTTTATTGCTATCACTAATGTAATACTTATGTAGTGTAATTTTACTAGGTTAATAATAGGTGTTTTTTGAAATATTCCATAACACTTTGTGTCATTTAAAGTGTCATTTTTGTATCATTATTTTCATGCCATATTTTCAAGTACAAATAAGTGAATATTAACAGCAAAACATTTATCTGCATTAATTTATTTTTAGGTGGATATCAAAATCATTATTATCAAGACAGGAATGGATATAATGGAAATTATAGACGAAACAACAATCGTAAGTTTTATTCAGTAGCCTCTAATTGCTTAAAATATTACCGTTCTTTCACCAAAATATTTCTCTTTTATATCTTTCCGCATGAGTTAAGTAGCCTCTAATGGCATAAAACACGACAGGGAAATATATAAATGCTAAGTATATTGTGAAAGAATGTTCTAACTATTTTAGTATACAAGTCTATGAAGTTTTAAAAAAGAGGTTGAAAGCAGTAATTATGCTAATTTTTTACTATTACATTTTTAAATAAATTGTTTTCATTTTTATTAGTTTAAATTTATGTTGCATTTGGACTGTTATGCCAGTTGCTTCAAATTTTCTATTATATGTAGGTTACTTCTAATATACTATTTTATAAAAGGAGAAGTAAAGGTATTCAGTCTATAAACTGTGAGATCTGCATAGTAAAATATAATTTTGTTTTGCTGTTTATTGTATTTAAAAAGACAAAGACTTAAGTACTTTTAAAATCGAAATTAAAAAGTTTATGTCAACTTTAACAGATAAGTATTATAGCCAAATGAATCTGAATCTGAATATATGGAATCATTCTTTCTGCCAAAATTAGTATGAGGTTCTATAATACCAGAAAATTAATTAATTATTTTTCCCCAGGTTCCAGAGGAAATGGAAACAATCGGGGACGAGGAGGAAACTTCAGGACATCAACATCACAACAGCAGCAAACGCAACAGTAACAATATTCGATCCAAATGCAAATGTTTTTATCAAAAATGTGATTTCACCTCGGACTTGGCAGTGGCAGTGGAATCCTCCTTTCTCAGACATTTGCTTTGAATTTTGCTAAAAAAAATATATATATATATATAAAAATGCTGTGGCCTTCTGACAAGTCTTCACCTGTTCACCATCTAAGCTTCCACCATGAATTCATCAGGCACTACAGTATTAATATATGCAATCCAAAGGCAGATCTATTGCGCCTGCCTTAGTCTTACATCTGAGCTGCAGAGATGGGACCAGCATTACTGTGTGCGACTAATTTAAAACGGGAAAAAAAGTGTTTAAAAGAAAAGTCACTATGTTAATAAATTCATATTTAATATATGTGGTGCAGACTTCCACAAGGCTGCACGAGTCTTAAGTGTGGTGGTTTACCTATCTGTGCATATAATTATCAATTCATTTGATGTGATAATCAGACTAAAGTTTCACCCCCTGTTCATTTGCTAACCTGTTTTCTTCTTAATTTCTTTAGTGTTTTACCTTAAAGGCATGATAAAGAGAAAAAAAGTTTTTTTTTTTTTTTTTTTTTGTTCCTATCATTGCGTTCTATATTTAAGTACAGGACGTTGCATCTGTGTGCAGAAAAAGATATGTATTTCTACTGTTTAAAAATTGTTAATGTAAACTATTAGATGATGACAAAAAAATTACCTGAGCATCTGCATTTTCTGCTACTCATTATATCATTAATGTAGTTAGTTAATGCATATTCTTTCAGGTTGTTTCTAAAATACTTTTTTTTAAAAAAACTCAAAGTTTGGAGAGCAGTGTTAGCCCTCACTGAAATTCAAGCTTTGGCGTAGTGAAAGAAAGTGGTTTGTTGCCTTGTAGGGGTGGTTTGGAAACACATCTTTATAATTAGATACTTTTCTGAAGCTATGTGTAACTGTATATAACTAAACAATATGTGTTCATACATAGGACCTTGATATCTTAAATCATATAGTGAGACAAAAAGTTGAGCTTCTGATTAATTTTAGAGCAAAATTGATCATATGGATTATACATTAATAAAAATATGAAAACATAACTGTGTTGTTTGGATTAAAGCTTTTGACTAAAAATACAGGTTTTATAAAAGTTTAAAGTTATTTAATGAGATACATGATAGAAGGCATACTTGGTGAAAATAAGCCATTTATAAAGTATGGTGTCAGTTTTATGTCTTTTCAAGAGAGAGCAGAGCATTAATAAAGGTAAGTAATTCAGGACTAATATTTCAGAGTCATAAACAGTACTCATTATGTTAACCCTTTAATCCTCACAATATTATATTTTTATAATGTTTAACTAAAAAAACTCTAGATATTAATATATGGTCCTAAGCAACAAATGGAATTTCCAAAACCAACCACAAAAAAAATCAACTCTGCCCATGATCTGTGGGTGGTGGGTGCCTGTGAAACCAGCGCATTCTAGGCTTAAGTTGAGGGGTGTCTTGGGGGGGGGGGACTACCTTTTTCTGTGTGCATCCAATAATGCTAAATTGCAATTTGAACAAAAGTGTATTACAAATTAATTTCTTACAAAGTCCTCTTTGCCCACACAAACACGTATGTAATTTTCTGTACCATGAAAGATAGCACATCGTGATAGATGGATATACCCCTGTCCGTCGGCGCACAGTAGTCTTCTTTTTTTTTTTTTTTTTTTTTTTGGTTTTGGTTTGTTGTTGTAAAAGACAACTTTTTGTGTGAAACTGTTCCCAACCTGATTGTCTTCTCGTATATCTAGACCAACTGCACGGTAACATAGTACGAGGGCAATCTCCCAAAAAAACGTCTCCTATTTTTGGGGGACGTAGAGAAAGTTTTAATACGGTTGTTGGCAACACTGTTGTGAGTGGTGCTTCTCCGCTATCGCATAAGCACGTAGGCGCTTCGCTCGGATGCTCAATCTTGGCTGGTCAGCCATCGAAATTGAGCCCGATAACGTTACGCGAAGCGAAGTGCACGCAGTTATTCGATTTTGAACGCAAAAGGCGTTAAACAGTGAATTCACCGCCTATGACGGAAGTATGGAGTCGTGCATGGATGTCAAAAGCATTCGAAGTATGTAGAGAGTTTACAGCCGGTCATACGAAATTCATGAGAAAAGGACGGTCCTCAACTTTCGCGATTGTTGAGTTCGTAAAATGCGTAAGATGGGGATCATCTGGATGCTCCTGAAGCTCCTCAACAATCCGACGGGCCATGGCGGCAAACTGGTATACTGGGCATTGTAAAACTGCCAAGCATCTCAAAAAATGCATCGCCGAAATGCGCTATGTTGAAAATAAAGCATCTTCAATCTTTAAAGTGACGTAGCAATTATAGAATAACGGCTCTTTGTATTCAAAATATAGCAGACCTTTTTTTTGGGATTGCCCCTCGTATCTTGTTCTATGGGTCATCTCTGAGATTTGCATTTTACTGGCATATGTCCAGCCTTGTTTAGTCTCTTTTCGTCTGGCACATGAAGGTTGTCTTTTTTTATGTTAATGGAAGGGAGCTTGGTCTTTTTGGCTTTGGAATGAATTCTTCGTATTTCATCCCAAAATATTTTTTTAAAAAACTTTAACACAGTTTCTAGTTTTATTTATAGCAAAATATATTTACATAATTAAAACACAAATATTTAACATCCCAATAGCCAGAAGGAAGGAGCTTGGAGAAAAATCTCTTGGGCAGGTGCATGTATGGTTCAGTAATAAAATAACTCTCTGGGTTCGGAGCCCTTTATCTATCTCTGGGTAAAAATAAACACTCCTATTTGAAAGCAGCAAACACCATTGTGAAGAGCAGTGGTTTAGGGTTGTGCCCAGAAACCACAAAACAAATGCTGTAAACATTACACAGATTGTTTATATATGCACTTTAATTATTGATATATTGTTATTCTTTATGATAGAAATGATGCATGATGAATAACTTTTGAAATTTAAAGTCATTCATGTAAAAGGAAGTTATTTTCTCTCATTGAAAATGAATTTTAAAAGGCATCTGATTTAAAGTACCAAGACCTTAAAAATAATGTATGGTTCTGCAGTCATTTTGTGTTATTTAGAGGTAAAAGGTAAGTAATCAATTGGTTTTCACTCAAAAATTTCAGAAAGGAGAGGGAAAAAAATTTGAAAATTGGTTCCTGGGCGCAACAAGCGTACGTCAAGGGGTTAACAACGTTTTATAGTCTTAAGTCTTCCTATAATTATTGTTATCGTTTGATGGAGATTATCTGCCACAACTTTGGGATCTCTTAAAAATCTTTTAATGGTAACTGCAGTGCTGTTTCCAAGCAATGAAAGGTAAGAATTTGAAGTCTTGATTTCAGTGAGAAAGATACGGGAAATTATAGTTCTTTACCGATTGGCTGTAGTGTATTGGAGCATGGTTTCCTAACCATTTTCAATTTCCCGCCTCTTTTTCGAGGCCCTTTTAAGTCGTTCAGTGCTTCCACCTTGTGCAGTCATAATAAGAATATCTAGATGTGTTTTAAATGGGATTAGTGGGCTCTGAAATTTTTTAGTATTTATTGAGCTCTGATTGCTTAAATCCTTCATTAAAACTTGTCACAAAATCTGGAAACAGAGTAATTATTAAATCCTTCTGAAAAGTATTTTAGTGGTGAATCTGACAACTCGTGCACAAATGGCTGTGGTCCACTTAGTAATGTTAAGAACAATATCATTGAATTTACAAACTTAATTCAAGAACATTATCAATGAATTTACAAACTTTGGGTTATGATTTTGCAATTATAGACTAATAGCTTGTAGTTTGCATTTTGTACTTTCTCTTGGAATAAAAGAAGCCTTTATGTGCATACAACTTATGTGAAGGATAGATTGATGTGATTTTTGCCAAGGTGTATGGTTAAACTGATTAAAAACTTTACCTAGGTTGGAAAATTATGTAATAAAGCCCATATACACGAGGAGAGATATTTCTTATGGCAACTGGACTAGTCCATCTGCATGAATAAACATATCACTGGTGTCTTCAAATATGTCTTCAGCTCCTGTGCTAAAAGTTATGATCATTGAGCATTACAAGATACAGTATTTGCTGACTGTCAATGAAATAGCATACAGAAATCATTCAAAAACAGTGGCAGCTTCTGAATCTGTGTTTTGGCTTAGTAAATAACATATGCCACAATTTGTTTGGAATTTTTTATATTATTTCAACACACTTTGTGATGCAACATTTAATTCAGATAATTTCTGATAGATTTCTTTATAAATGATAGAATGTTTTTCTTTCACCTTGATGCAATTTTTTTTTTTTTTTTTGTGAGCTTAGGGTAATGTTTTTTTTTTTTTTTTCATTTGTTTGTATTAACTAAATTTACCAGGTTATTTTTTCCTGTTTAACGGAATTACTATATTATATTCTGTGAAGTCTTCAAACAAGAATAGCCTATTTATCACCTCTTTGCATTTGATTTCTTTACAATTTCCTACTGTGATTTTTCAACTTCTAGATTACCTCGATCGTTTTGCGCATTCGTAGAAGTGTTCAATTTTTTGTGGATCATTAGGTTGTGAGTTTGAACCTTGCTTGAGCAATTTTTCTGATTTTTCCATTGACAACAAATGTTTTACCATTTCTGTAATTAGAGAAATTCTTTTAGAATAATTTTTATAATTTCATATTAATTTTATAAATACAACAACAGTTGTTACTTCAATGTACATCCACTTTAGAAAGAGTCTACTATCCTAAATGTCCTGCTTGGAATATGACGAGTTTGATTAGTCATGTTGCAGTCTGCCCACCATAAGGATTGCTCTCGTCAGTATGTTTAGATGGAGGCGATTGCTATGGCAACAGGGATAGTATATTTAAGTATGGGTGAATTAAGTGAGTATTTTATTGTCTTTTGTTTTTAGTGAATGTCTTTTTTTTAGTGTCCATGCGAAAGAGTTATCATTCAGTCAGCAGCCTGCGTAAACCACATAACCGTTCGATAGAGCAACTCATGCTATATAACTCTGAATTTTCATATAATTTTGCAATTTATCACATAAATGTTTTTTTTTTTTTTAATTCTTTAACAATATTTTTTTTTAATTAATGAGAAAATGGTGGTGAACAAATATATAGTTGAAATGTATGAAAATGACGTGTGTATCTGGAACTCGTCTGTTACATACCATATAACAAGAATAATGATATCTACAGTTGTGAAAACCAAACATGCTATCAAATACATTGCATTATGTTAAAAACAAATTCAGACTTATCAGCTCTTGATTAGGACATGCATTCACCCACATGCAGTTTGAGTTTGAGACTGCTATTCTATCACATATTGCTTTAAAAATAAATTGTTTATTAATATAAGTTTTGAGATCATTCAGACTTTGTTACAGTAACAGATTTAACGGGGGTAATTACAGCCCCAGCTGGATAATATTCGATTCACATTTACACATGGGGTATGTCATGGATTGGCAAAATTCCAGAAGCTTTAAATGAGCAATTATAATAACTTATGGGAGAAGGGGCTTTCCCAAAGAACCTTAATAATGCTTTTAAAGGAGTGTGGGTATTTTCGTATAAAATTGGCTAATTTTTCGAGATCTTGCTGAGTACTTTAGATAATGTACATTCGCATTTTTTTTTATCTTCCCAAAAGACTTGCATCAGAATATATGCAGTCTAGTTTTCAATATTTTGTTGATGGAGCTTTTTGCATTTTCATTTCATTTTATTTCTTTGAACACTGACATTTAAATTTCTGTTAAATG